CGAAACCGGTGCTTTCAAAGCCAGAGCACGGGGGCCCAGTGCATTCTGCCGGAACAGCTGTATCTCGTATCTACCTCACCCGGAAGCCCCGTTTACCCTGCGTAACTTCCACGTGCAGGTTAAAAAACTCCCGAGGCACCGACCTGGACACGGACGTATGTGACCAGTCTTGTCCCCAAAGAGGCACATCCCCACAGTTAAAACACAAAGCAAACCAGACCAAACTAAACCCACAGGCAGCTTTCTGCCATCTGCAGAAGGTGGGCGCTCAAGGGAACGTTAGTCGGGGGTTGGAGGGGTGACCTCTACACAAAACACGGAGAACACAGAGAAGTTGTGCTCTGTGTGGCTCAACCGGGAAACTCCATGCCCAGCGCACATGTGAACTATTTCAACATGAGGTCCCAGCAGAGAAACACTTGTACACGTGCGGCACAGAGGACCACCCCTGCATGCCTACCAGGCGCCCCCCCATGCCCAACCTCTCCAGAACCTTCCAAGGCAGGGCCCTGCCACGTGTGTCCTATGGGACCACCTGCCTCTAGGGGGAGCCCCGGCTCCTCAGAAAGCCCACCCACCCACCATCCCAGGCTGGAGGCTGCACCAGCGGAAAAGGAACTCCACACAGAATCTTCTAGAACACAGTGCGTGACAGGCCCTTCTCAGACTGTCCCACTGGACCAGGCACTTAGCACTGGGGTTCATGGCCTCAGTCATGGGGGTTCTTGCACCACGAGCAGGGAGGGGACAAGAATGTGGCGCTCAGCCACACAGCACGGCCACAAAGGCCAATTCAGGAACTCGGAGGTCCCCCCAGGCCGCAGGCTCCCCCCATGCAACGTGACAATAGGTTCGTTGAGCTCGTGGGAAGAAAGGCACATTCTTACCGTGTTTATGATCCACTTAACTGAATACAAGAATTCCAACGAGAAAGTTGCACAGTGCCGTTTTCCAGCCACTTAACTGTTTCTCTCCAGGCAGTTGTGAGAACTAATCTTCAGGACGAGGCCTGAGGACTTTATGCAGAAACTGTCCCCCATGTGGGCTGCGTGAGGACCTGCCCTTCATCCCTCCTCCCTGCTCTGAGGCACGCTGTCCCGGCTCGGCCCCCGGGATTCGGCTCAGACAGTGCACGTGCAGCCACATCCCTGCCTCCAGCGACCCCACCAAGCCTGCGTCAGGATGACAGCTGCTCACCCCAGGGGCCGCCCCCACCTCTTCCCCAGCTGGCCGCCCCCCTCCCGGACACCACTCCTGTGAATCTTCCAGGAAGAAGTGATACGTGACTTAGCTGCTCAAAAACACCAACGACTTGGAATTTTCCCAGCTGCGGCGGGGCAGGACCACAGGCACACACCGTGTGGCATGTGTGTGAGGCAGGTGGGGACACCCACCACGGGCCCCCGGATTGAGTGCCTGTCTTTCCGCTGTGGACAAATGCACGTGCACAGAGGCCAGGGTGTTGGGGAGACTTCCGGCCTTCCTCCTTCCCCCGAGGCTCAGGGCCTGGACGGGGACACCGGGAACATCTCTGCCTGTGACCATCCGCAGTCATCGCTGCCAATGGCAGCTGGCAGAGCCACCAGAAAGCACACGGGCATGCCGCCATGCTCACGGGCAGTGCTCACGTCTGCCCAGCTCCCTCATTAGGACTGAGCCTCTGCCGTAAAAACCTAAAGGTGCATTTTCTGCAGAGGTAGGTGATAAAGGGCAGGCCTTGCTCAAGGCCACGAGCCCCGGACGTTCCCACCCCGGGGTCCTGTCCTGCCCACGCACCTTGCTCTCGGGAGATATCCGCCTTGTACCAGAATTTGGATGTGTCTTGGACAAAGTTCACGGACACATGTTTATCACCCGCATTATCTGCAAAACAGAATGTAAAACCAGTCACTGCGGAGGGTTTATGGCAACCGCTCACGTCTCATGGAACCAAACGTTCAAAGTCCAATGCGGGGCAAGGATGGGGTGTCCTGGGAAAGAGCACCGTATTTAACTACGTGGGAGCTGGCTGATGTGCGTCAGGGAGCAGGGCTTCCTGACCAGCGCAGACTTGGGGCGACACGGCGGCCGGCCCCGGGGAGCAGGACAGACAGGCAGACGGAGTGGCTGGGTGCTGCTTAATCGTGTCAGTATCTTATTCTTACACATTTGAAACATTCCATAGTTAAATTTTGAATGAGTTCACTGAATTCGAAAAAGAAAGGGGGTAGGGGGCGCCTGGGTGGCTCAGTCAGTTAAATGTCCACCTCTTGGTTTCAGCTCAGGTCATGATCTCACAGTTTGTGGGTTCGAGCCCGGCATCGGGCTCTGTGCTGGCAGCTCGGAGCCTGCTTGGGATTCTCTCTCTCCCTCTCTCTCTGCCCCTCCCCTGCTCTCTCTCTCTCAAAATAGAAACAACAACAAAAAGAAAAATTTTCGAAGAACAAGGATTCCCAGTGGCAGGAGAAACAGAACCCACCGTAGGTCAGCGCAGAAGCAGAGGGAACAGAGACCCCACTGGACGGCTCTGGGCTCCGCTCTTAAGGCGCTGCCCGGACATCCCAGGGCCCCCTCCTCGCTGAGCGAGCGCACACGGGGCTCCCACCGGCGGAGACATGCCTACCTGGGCTGGGTGCCACTGGCTCCAACGCCTTGGGGAAATCCGGGAGGATGTTGGGGAATGGGATGCTCATGGAACTCCCACTGTGGGGGCTGGAGAAGCCGCTGGATGAAGGGGAGGCTGAGCCTAAAGACCGGTCCCCCTCCGAGGCTCGCTTCTTCTCGGGTAGGGGCGGCTGCCCAGGCAGGGTCAGCGGACTGTGGTGGCCGCTGTGGCCCGGCGTCACCGTGAGAAAACTGGAGGACAGGAAGCCGCTGTCACCGGCCGCTGCTGCCGTCCGCGGGGTGCTGGGGGCCTGGGGTGTTCCGTGAGAATGGACCAGCAAGGCCCCGGGGTCGTCCCCAGGGGCAAGGCAGCTCCCCACGGGGGCAGTGCCGAAGCCCAGGAAGGCCTGGCCACTCGGGGGGCCCAGAGCTTCAGGTGGCTCCGCCAGGGACAGCTGGTGGTTGTGGAAAGGGGCCTGGAGCTCGGCGGGTGGGAGGTGGGGCCGCCCGGGGCTGTCGGGGCCGAGGCTGGAGCCAGGGAACTCGCCGGAGCCCAGGACGCTTCCTGCCGGCCGGCCGCTCCCCAACAGGGCCAGTGAGGCTTTGGGGCTGCTCTCCACCCATGGGAGCTCGGCGGATGGAGGGCTGTTGGAAAGACAGAGCAATCAGAACACTCTAGGAGGCGCCCGGAGATCAGGAGGGGTCCCCCAGGTGGCGAAGACAGACGGGAAACTGGTGCTGAGGCTCCCCCAAAATGTCAGCAGTCAGACCCGCCCTTCCCTCTTCGCCACTCACCCCAAGATGCTCAGCCCCTCGCACCCGATCACACCTTCCCTGCCTCCTCCCTCCTCACTCGGCCAAGGCCCTTCTGCTCAAGACAAAAGCCGGGTCCCCGGCTCTGAAGCCTCTCAGCCCCGTGTCCAGCTGGCAGTCTGTGCCTGCCCTGCATGCACGTCGGCCACGCAGTTCACTGTGTGCGGCTTCTGGCAGAATGGCTTCCCCAGGCACAAACCACGCTCTCCATTTTCTTCTTCCCCCTCCCCTGATAGCTAGCCAGGGCACCTGACTCAGTTTCCCCTAACCAGCTGATTAAAGGAGCCC